CACAGACACAATGAATCGGCGATTCCCCAGAAAATATGGGAAGTGGGGGGGGAAGACAAAGCCTAGAAACTATGGCAAAATATGGGGAATTCCTGTTATGTGTATGTATTTATGTGTGTGTGTGTGTGTGTGTGTGTGTCCCAGGGCCGCTTTAACATCGACAACACGAGTCCACATCAGCGGCGACAGCAGGTGCAGGACCTCGCGGCTACGACTTGCAGGCGCTGGCAGGTTCCGACGCGCTGCGGGGAGATCTTGGCCGGAGCGGTGACCAGACACCAAGCGGGCGCGCACAGCATAAGGCGCAGAGGAACAGGAGCTCACTTTCCGACGCGGGGAGCCTGAGGCAGATGAATTCATAGACACTATAGTTTCAAAGGTGTCTTGGGATGCGCCCGCAAAGCGGTTTCTGTAAGCCACGAGTTCGCAGCTCTTACAAAAGGTGATATGTGTCCACTCGATTGTGTACAGTCCAACTACGAGCTCCCCGCCACGCGAGTTCTTAGCAGGACCGTGGGCCACATGACGCACGGATGGCGCCCACCATAACTCCATGAAGACCCGGTGCAATGTTGGAGGCGTTGCCACAGCAATGTCGCAGACGGATTGGCCGATCTTACCATGGACCCGCGGACTACACGGCGCAAGCGCTTCGACACCACCCTGGACGTGATGAAGAGCAGCATCGTGGTCCAGTTTGACGATGGATTATGTTGAGATGATTTCGCTGCTGCGTCGTGGATCATTGGCTTGTGGGGCACAGCGGACGGACAAGAAGCGTTCGAACCGTTCATTATACAGAGGACATGTTTGGAACTGATTTGCACGGCAGTTGGCGCAGGAGCACTTGGCTTGGACGAGGCATATCTTGAGGTGGCCAAACTGTTCTCTTAGGCGCGGGGCGAAAATCTAAACGTGTGGCCTCTTACGCTTCACCAGATCAACATTTTATGGTTCTTGCCAGGAAGGGGGCGGAGGGGGGTGGGGGCGCGGCGTCGAGTGGGCAAGGGAGCTTCCCCGAGGGTCCAGGGGCCCCGCTTGCACTGCGAAGAACAGTCGGCGCTTGCCTCTCCGACTCCGACTTCTGTTTTAGAGTCAAATGGCCGCGGAGCAGGCCCGTCACGCTTGTCCCAGAGTGCAGGGGTCAGTTACGATGGGGGGGCGTTCGTTAAGGAATGTGTCCAGGAGACATCAGACCCTGGGTGGTTATTTATGTGATGAGGGCGGCGGTGATTCCATGGCCAAGCCTCAGCCGGTGTTCCTTTGGCTTCCAGACCCCGGATTATTTACCCAACGGCTTCTTATCCTCACCATATGGGCACGTGTTTTGACCCAGAAGTCGAACGTTCCAGCTTGTAGATTGAGAGTATCCTGCATGGACGCAGCAGAGGAAGAGAAGGAGGAGGACGAGGAGGACGAGGAGGAGGCGAAGACGAGGACGAAGACAAAAAGCAGGAGGAGAAGCCTGTTCGTAGTCGATTGGCTTGTGGGTGCCAACGCCCATGGGGGGACCAAGCACCCGGCACTTCCTGAAACACCTTGGATGACAAGCCCCACCGTGAGATTGAGGGGCGATCCCCACCATCGTCCCTGGCGATTCGTGGAACGAGCTCCAATTCCGCTCGACAAAATCAGCCGCTTCCGCGCATGACACGGGGAGGAGGGACGAAGAGGAGGGATGAGGAGGTGGAAGAGGAGAAGGAGGAGACGCACTGGCACGGGCAACGCTGCCCGCAGCACTCGCGCCCGCGAGGTGGAGCTCAGCGAGGCCATGATCAGCTGGATGTTCGAGGACGGGAAGGGCAGCGCACGAGCCGACGCCCTGCCATAAGACACAGCTGCCACGGGAGGTCCCTGGAGGTCTCCACCCAGACATGCTTGCGCCATGTGTATTTATATACATATATATAAAACAAGCAAGTTTTGTTTAACACAAACCACAACAACAACAACAAACAAAAACGACAAGAGTGTTTTGGCCGTTCTCGGCCGCCGTGGCGCCAAAGGCCCCTGCAGGGCCCCAGGACCGCCAGAACCACCCGGGGTGAAACACCGGCCCCGGGGAAAGGCTCGCTCGGGACTCCCGGGGACGCCGTGTTCCAAGCAGCAAGACGTCGGATGTTTGGGCAGACATCCTGGAGGCCTGCGGGGCCACGGGCCCAGGCGGCGAGGACATCGCAGGCCATGGTCTCGCCAGCTCCAGCACGAGGAGACTCAGGAGGGAAAACAACTGTTTTTTGATTCGCGGGTCGAGAGCGCACCTCTTCCGGTCGAAGCTAAGCGGGCCGCGCACAGCTTGAATTGACAAAGAGGGGGAGGCAGAAGGAGGGGCCTCACGTCAACGGAGGGAAAAAACAGCCAGACACAATGAATCTTCGATTCCCCCGAACATAGGGGGAAATATGGGAAGTGGGGGGGAAGACAAAAACCCAGAAAATGTGTGAAAAGATATGGGAATCCTTTTATTTCATCGCTTCGCTCATTCTGCCAGCCCTGGAGCACTATTCGGGGCCTCTTGGGGCCGTCTTGGGGGCCTCTTGGGGCCTTCCTGGGAGCGTCTTGGGGCTCCCTGGCGGCGTATTGGGCTCCCCTGGGGCCTCTTGGGGGGCTCTTGGGGGCCCCTTGGGGCGGTGGGAAAAGATAGGGGAATCCTTTTATTCGTGTGTATGTATCTGTGTGTCCCAGGGCCCCTGCAGAGACGACGCACGGCGGACCTGCTCCGGCCCACGGCTGCAGCGCTCTCTCGGGCCCCCCGCCGCGCCGGCCCGCCCAGGTCGGGGCCACGGCGGGGGCCTCCCGCGGGCCCAGGGCCGAGGAAAAGGGCGGGCACGGAGTGCAGCTGGACCGGGAGGCAGAAGGTCGAGGTCGGCTCGGGGAGGGTGTCCTGATCTTTTTCCTCCTCCTCCTCCTCCTCCTCCTCCTCCTCCTCCTCCTCCTCCTCCTCCTCCTCCTCCTCCTCCTCCTCAGGAGGGTACCCTTGGACGTTCTGTGTTTTTGCTGACGGAGGATCTCGTGTTCCTGAGGGATGCCCCTCTGGCCCAGGGCCGAGGCAGAGCAGGCACGGGTTGCAGCTGGACCGGGAGGTAGAAGGTCGAGGTCGGCTCGGGGAGGGTGTCCTGATCTTCTTCGTGTTTGATGGATGTCCCTGTGCATCCTGAGTCTGCACGAACGAGATGGGCACGGAAAGAACGGGTACGATGCCCAACAGCAGTTCCTGTTCATTTTGAACAGGACTCGCTGTCCGCGCCGCCGCGGCCTGCATCCATTCGAGACAGGAGGCCGCCCTCCCAACAGCGGCGTTGGTTTGGGACAACATTTGCTGTTGGGCATTGTACCCATTCTTTCCGTACCCATTTCGGGCGTCCAAATTGAGGAGGGTACCCTTGGACGTTCTGTGTGTTTTTGTTGACGGAGGATCTCATGTTCCTGAGAGATGCTCCTCTGGCCCAGGTCCGACTGCAAGGCGCGTGGCTTAGCGGCGGGTGCCAGTTCTACATCATCAGACTGGAGGAAAAACCCAAACATCATATTTTTAGGGCTAAAGGGCTATAAGGCTCTGGGGCTATAGGGCTATGGGGCTACAGGGTTATAGGGCTAGTGGGCTATCGGGCTGGAGGGCTACAGGGCTGCTATGTAGGGCTATAGGGCTATTAGGGCTACAGGGCTATAAGGACTATAGGGCTATAGGACTATAAGGCTATAAGGCACCCGGGCACGTGGGCAGCCAGGCACCCGGGTACCCGGGCACCCGGGCACCCGGGCGTGCCGCCGAAATCGGCGCCCCATTTCACCCCAGGCATGATCGCATCGTAAAAAAAAACAGGACAAGAGGTTTTTGGCTATTTTCGGCCCCGGGGGGCCCTCGCCGGGCCTCGGGACCGTCAAAAAATTACTCGGGACGAAAAGCCGGTCCCGGGGAAAGGGTCGGAACTTCCAGGGACGCCGTCCTGAAAAAATCAGGACGTCGCATGTCAGTGTCTGGGACCTAACCATATGAAACCGCTAGGACCACTACAGAGGCGAGCTCCGATTGGGTAAATTATCGACGGGACAAGGACGCCAGACCCGATGGCAGGCGGAGAGATTGCAGAGGCCCTGCGGACGATGTGGCCAGGCCACCGGGAGCAGAGCAGTTTGGGCGTTGAGGGGCGGGAGGGGGCACAGGAGCCAAGGGTGGGGGGTAGCAAGAGGGAGGGGGCTGGCAGAAATGGGCACGGAAGCCGAGTGGTCGAAAAGGAAAAGTCTGCATAGGCATGCGTTGCCGGGGTTTGCGCAGATGTCTTAGGTCTCGGTCGGCGTTGGACTTCCCACATGCGGCGCAGCCTTCGGCCGTTTTTATATATGTCGTCCCTTCTTCCTCGTCGTCTAGCCAGAGGGAAGGGGGGGGGGCTGCAAGGGGGGGGGGGCTGCAGATCGGGACGGCGGAGGAAGGGCCCGGGATCGCCCGCACGCACGTCCTTCTCTCGCGCTTCGGGTTCCCGCCCAGCCTGCCACTCCTCCAGGACGTCTGCGCCCTGTGCGGTTCTCCCACCTGTCGCGGCCTACCCGCGAGATGGCCTCGTCTAGCTCCAACGCTCAGTCCACCGCACCGCGCTGGCCCATCCCGCTTGCAACACGGCACCACGGACGGCAGGAAGCCCAACACGGCCTTTGTGGAGTTCTGGGGAGATTACGATGGAGAGCAATACAGACAGTGAAGGGTGGTATAGAGAGCAATGTAGAGACCAAGAGCGAGACCATACCCGAGACCAGACGGGAGACAATGCGGGAAAGCGTGAGGTAGACCATACAGAAGACCATACGGGAGATCAGGCCAGAGCTCATGCGGGAGACCACAACGGAGACCGGACACGCGAGCAAGCACGGCGAGGGAGTGCGGTGTCATCCCTCTCGGATGTGGTGGCTCAAGTGGTCAGATTGCTGCAACGATCCAAACGAACGATCCATCGAGTACCGTACGAGCCTTCACCTGCTGACCTCTTAAAAGCAGGGTTTTTCACATGGCTCTCTCCCAAATGTTGAGTGCCAAGCTGATCGGCGCAATCGTGGCGTTGTGTATGTTCGCCAGGTCAGAGGCAGGGGACTTCTTGGCCAAACGCACGAGGATCATGCAGATGACCGAGGCCACGGCGGAGGTCATCTTCCAGGACAACGCGCTGTGGCGCAGGCCGATTCTGGTGTTCTTCCGCCCAGAGGCCAGCACTCGCACGAGGGAGGAGGACGAGGTCCGGGCCGCCGTGGACCAGCTCGACAAGCGCTTCTTCGTCGTCTTCTCCGGGGACACAACTCTGACGGACCTCGGCGGTGCGCAAGACGGGTGGGGCGAAGGGGGGCGGCCTCCTCAGAAGGTTCGGGTCCTCTTAGAAGCCCTGTCGCCTTCTCAAAGAAGAAGTCGAGGGGGGGGTCCTGGAAGCAATCTGGCCTTCAAAGAAGCGTTCTGGAAGCCTCCGACCCCTTCAAGGGAGCCCCCTGCCGTCTTAGCTGGCTGTACCCCTCACCACATCTGCTGAGTTTCGCTTCCGTCCCAGATCCTTACCCCCAGAGGTCCCCAGACGCTCCCAGAGGCTTCCGCATGGCGCAGGGCGGGGCTAGGACCGGGGCAAATCGCTCCAGAACGCTTTCAGAGCGTTCCAGAGTGCTCTGGAACGGCCGCGGCTTCCGGTACATCGTCGTCTAGAAAGGCTGCCGTATCTGAAAGATTCCGGAATTATCCCAGTCCGAGTTTGCCTTGGTCGTGGTTTCGTCTTATCAATCGATTCGCTCATTCCGCCGGCCCTGGAGCGCTATCTGGGGGGCCTCTTGGGGCCGTCTTGGGGGCCTCTTGGGGGCTTCTTGGGAGCGTCTTGGGGCTCCTTGGCGGCGTCTTGGGCTCCCCTGGGGCCTCTTAGGGGGCTCTTGGGGGCCCCTTGGGGCGGGAGGGGGGGTAGTCGATTGCAGCCACCCCTTCGGAGGCTACGATCCTCGTGAGGGGTGGCGAAAATAGCCTCCCCCCCGGGGATCGCCCGGGACCCGGCCAGGGGTCAGCCAGGGTATTTTTCGTCCGGGGGCCCCCAGGGGCCGCCCCGCGCGCGCGCGCGAACTAGAAATATTGTTAAGTAGTCACCGGAGATTTTAGCACGCCTCTGGCCCGTTGGGCCGGCGAATTGCCCTGAAAGGGTGTGCAACCGAGGAGCTGAAGTTGATGAACACCATGGGCCTCTTCCAGGGTGAGGAGCTACCACTCCTGGGCGCGCTCTCCTTCGACTTCCACCAAGACAACCCCAAGGCCCATGGGCCCGAAAGCCAGCTCCTACTCAGACCTTGTTCCTCCGCCGCCTCTGTTCTCATCATTTAGTTTCCCCTTCCTGTTCCTCCTCCTGTTCCTCCTCCTCCTCCTCCTCCTCCTCCTCCTCCTCCTCCTCTTCCTCCTCCTCCTCCTCCTTCTCCTCCCTCCTCCCTCCTCCCTCCTCCTTCCTCCCTACTCCATCCTCCCTCCTCCCGCCTCCCTCCTCCTTCTCCCTCTGGCGCCTGGCCCACATTTTACCAAATGCATGTGGGACAATCCCGCCTTGCGAGCCGTTGGAGCTGCGAGGCCGGTACGGACCAGATCTCACACTACTTGCAGTGACGCGGTGCTTGCTGGTGCGTATGCGTGGCGTTTCGCGCCATCGCCAAAGCGCGCGTGCCCCCTGCATCGCCTCGGCCTGGGCGCGGCGGAGGACCAAGACGTGGACCTGCAGGGCGAGAACGGCCTGCCCCGAACGGTGGCACAGCTGGCGACGATGCACCGCATGTACGACCTGCTCCGCCACCGGCCCGGCCCGAGCCAGCCGCTCCCAGGGGTGGCCCAAGCCCTGGCCCGCGCTTCGGTCCAGCGCGTCCAGGTTCCGCCTCTCTCCCCAGGCGGACCCGGCGTGCGCTGCCCAGCAGTGACGGGCCCCGGCGAGTGCCCACCGCACCTCTGCCTCCAACAGCAGGCGCGGGCGGAAGCCGTACATCAAGACCTACGACGACGGCCGCCCGGCCAGCCTCAGGAGTGACGGTCGGCTCGCGCACGGACCCGCCTAGGCGCGCCTCGTCCTCCACTTTTTTCCTCAGTGACGGCCTCCTCCAGAACGTCCCAAGCATTACCTCCTCTGCTGCAGCTGCGGACGCGGACTCTGCCCCGCCCGCAGCCGCACGCGGGTAGGCGTGCTAGACGCACCGTGCCACGGGCGCTTCTCCCTCTTCCTCCTCCTCCTCCTCCTCCTCCTCCTCCTCCTCCTCCTCCTCCTCCTCCTCCTCCTCCGCCTCCTCCTCATCATCCTCCTCATCCTCATCCTCCTCCTGATCATCCTCCCCCTCTCCTCCTCTCCTCTCCTCATCTCCTCATCTCCTCCTCCTCCTCCTCCTCCTCCTCCTCCTCCTCCTCCTCCTCCTCCTGGTCCTCCTCCTCCCTCCTCCTGGTCCCCTCCTTGTCCTCCTCCTGGTCTCCTCCTGTTCCTGCTCCTCCTTCCTCCTGCTCCTGCTCCTCCTCCACCTCCTGCTCCTCCTCCGCCTCCTCCTCCTCCTCCTGCTCCTCCCTCCTCCTCCTTCTCTCCTCCCTCCTCCCTCCTGCTCATTCCTTCTTTTCCGCCTCCTCCTCCTCCTCCTCCATCATCATCATCACCATCATCAGCAGCATCATCATCCTCATCCTCATCCTCATTTCACCTCCTCCTTTCCCTCCTCCTGCTCCTCCTCCTCCTCCTCCTCCTCCTCCTCCTCCCTCCTTCCTCCTCCTCCTCCTCCCTCTTCCTCCTCCTCGTCCTCCTCCTCCTCCGCCTCCTCCTCCTCCTCCTCCTCCTCCTCCACCTCCTCCTCCTCCTCCTCCTTTGTTCCTCCTCCTGCTCCTCTTTCTCCTGCTCCTCCTCCTGCTCCTCCTCCGCCTCCTCCTCCTGTTCATCCTCCTCCGAGCGGCGGACGCGTCTGTCCGCACGCCCGAGCACTGTGAACGGGAGCGATCGCAACCCCCCAACCTTGGAACCAGCGCTCCTTCTCCTTATTCTCCTCCTCCTCCTCCTCCTCCTTCTCCCCTCTCTCCTTCCTCCTCCTCCTCCTCCTCCTCCTCCTCCTCCTCCTCCTCTCCTCCTTCCTCCTCCCCCTCCTCCTGCTCCTCCTCCTCCCTCCTCCTCCTCATCTTCCTGCTCCTCCTCCTCCTCCTGCTCCTCCTCCTGCTCGTCCTCCTCTCCTTCTTCGCCTTATCCTCCTCCTCCTCCTCCTCATCTTCCGCCTCCTCCCCCTCTTTCTCCTCCCCCTCCTTCTCCTCATCATCATCAGCATCACCAGAACCAGCATCAGCAGCCTCATCAGTATCATCAGCAGCAGCATCATCAGCAGCAGCAACATCGTCATCGTCACCATCATCATCAACACCATCATCGGTATCATATGTGTCAGCATCCGCATCCGCATCGGCAACATCAGAATTACCATCATCAGCAGCAGCAGCAGCGTCATCATCATCAGCAGCATCATCACCATCATCAGCATAATCATCATCCTCATCATCATCATCATCAGCATCATCATCATCATCATCGTCATCATCAACATCATCATCATCATCAGCATCATCAGCATCATCATCCCCCCTCCGTATCCTTCTCGACCTCATCATCCTCCTCCGTCTCCTCATCCTCCTCGTTCTCCTCCTTCTACACATCCTCCTCATCATCATCCCCATCCTCCTCCTCATCATCCTTGTCCTCCTCTTCGTCCTCATAGTCATCATCATAGCTCCCCTCATCATCCTCATCATCAGCAGCATCAGCAGCAGCATCATCAGCACTATCAGCAGCATCAGCATCATCAGAATCATCCCCATCATCAACCATCAGTATCAGCAGCAGCAGCATCAGCAGCATCATCAGCATCAGCTTGTTCAGCATCATGATCAGCAGCAACATCGTCATCAGAATCAGCATCATCATCAACACCATCATCATCAGCAGCAGCAGCAGTATCAGCAGCAGCATCGTAATCACATGCCGCATCAGCGTCAGCTTCGCATCCCGATCGTCATGTTCGTACCATCAGCATCATCATAATCAGCATCATCAGCGTCATCAGCATTAACATCACCATCAGCGGCATCAACACCCTCATCAGCATCATCAGCATCATCAGCGGTACCATCATCAGCAGCAGCATCATCAGCAGCATCAGCATCAGCATCATCATCATCAGCATCACCGGCATCAGCAGCAGCATCATTGTCATATCTCATGTGTTCTCCTCCTCATCATCCTACCCCTCCTCCTCCTCCGCATCATCTTCATCCTCCTGCTCGTTCTCCTCCTCCTCTTGCTCCTCATCCTCCTCTTCCGCATCCTCCTCCTCCTCTTCCCGCTCCTGCTCTTGCATGTGTATGGTCGTCCTCCTCCTCCTATTCATCCTCCTGCGTTACATCCTCCTCCCCATCCTCCTCATCTTCCTCTTCCTCCTCCTCATCATCATCATCCTCATCATCATCAGCATCATCATCCTCATCCTCATCTGACTCCTCCTTCCTTCTCCTCGTCCTCCTCCTCGTCCCGCTCCATTTCCTGAACATGCTCTCGTCACCCTCCTCTTCTTCCTCCTCGTCCTCCTCCTCTTCCCGCTCCTGCTCCTGAACATGCTCCTCCTCCTCCTCCTCCTCGCTCGCCTCCTCCTCATCCTCCTCCTTTCCCTCCTCCTTCTCATCTTCTTCCTCCTCCTCGTCCTCGTCCTTCTCCTCATCCTCCTCCTCCTGCTCCTCCTCATCCTCCTCCTCTTCCTCTTCCTCCTCTTATTGCGCCTCCTCATCCTCATCTTCCTCCTCATTCCCCTCCTCCTCCTTCTCCTCCTTCTCCTTCTCCTCCGCCTCCTCCTCCCAATCCGTGCGGCGTGGAAGCATCTTAACCCCCGTCTCTGGCTTGGGTGCGAGGGCCAGTTAGTGTTGTGATTGCGTCTCTTCACGAAGCTGGATGGACCCCGTTCGCCCCTGACCCGTGGCGCCGACCGACCGCGAATTGGAGCGAGGTTTGGAGGCTGCCTTTTGCGAGCGATGAGGGGTTCGAGCAGGGGGACGCAGATGTTACAGAATTGCTCAGCGATCTAGTCCAGGACGTGGCGTCCCACTTTTGGACCCAGGCTGCCGCCCATTCTGGGGGTAAGGGGTTGGAGCTTGGGGGGGGGACGTTCCCCTGGCTGGCCGAGAAATTCGAACGTTCCAGGCGAACGAAGCGTATGACCTTGTAGGCCTTCAGAATACAGCAGTGTCTGGTTTCACCCGAGAGAGGCAGGCGGCCTTAAGATATGATGTAGACACATTGTGCCCTAGGTGCCAGCAGTGCACGGAAGCCCTCTTTCACCGTGTGTGGGAGTGTCCGTCCAGCGTCGGCTTCGAGGAATTCGAGAAGAGTGAATGTAGCAGACTGCAGGCCCAGGCGCAGTGGGAAAGTCGTTCAGTGCCGTGGCTTCGAGGCGTGCCGCCCAAGAGCTACACCCACCCCATGATATGTCCTGCGGGAAGTCTGCGGGCCCTGGGGCCGCTCCCGGTTTCGGTTGTTGAGCCGCACCCCACTTTTGGGTGTGTGGTGGTGTTCGGAGACGGATCGGGGGGGGGCCCACAGTGCGGACCCACGTTGGCGCAGGTGTGGCACGGCGGCGATCACCGTGCAATCTGATGGCCAAGAGGGCTGGAGGCTGGCGCGGGGACTGTCGATTCCAGTAGGAGGGCAGCGCCAAACGGTCCCTCGGTCGGAGCTGCTCGCGTTCGCCATCGCGTTAGAGAATGTCCTTGTGAGTTCTCTGTCTGTGATTGACCACGAGCCCCTCATGAAAGCATGCAGGCGATGTCGGCAGTCCCAAAAGAACGGGTCAAATCAAGATTTGTGGTCCAGAATTCGGGTGGCTCTCCAAGCTAGGTCTAACGAGGTGAACCTGAAATGGATCCCCTCTCACATGGACGAAGCCAACTCCCTCAGCGAGCCAATCGATCCCTACCTAATTCAGGGCAATGCCCTGGCTGATGAGGAGGCGGGGGGCTGCTGCGGGGAGACGGTGGGCGGCGTCGGTGGAAGGGGGAGAGTCTCAGACTGACCACTGGGATGCGATCAGCACCCTGGTCCGAGCGCGCGCGAGGCGCGCGCTGGCCCTGGCTGCGGAGGCCGACCCATGGAGTAGGGCCAGGGCCCCTGTCCAGAGGAGAGCAGCCCCCTCAAAGCTGAAAGTGGCTCGGCGCGCCTCCAGTCATCTCATCTTTTCGAGCGCAGCAGGGGAGCGTGGAGATGCAGCGGGTGCAACATTGTGGTGCCAGCTTCTCGCCTCATCGAGGCTGCCAAGACCCAGTGCCGCGGCCTCCCTGTCTGCGTGGCGGGGGCGGGAGGTGTTGGGTTGGCGGCGGGGCGGGAAGCGCATCCATCCCACACCGTCCAGCGGTGGGAGCGTTTCCTCATGAGTTGTTGCACCACATGTGGCAAATATGCCACGGTGGATGGGCGCCACTTGGCGGCCAAATGCGAGGGCATTTCCCGAAAGCGCCGAGAGAATACAAGCCGCATCGAGGAGGGCAAGTACCCCCGCAGAGAAGGGGTACCGAGGGCCCTGCAGGCTGCCCTCGATGCGCGCGACCTCGGAAGCCTGGCGAGAGCGTACGTGAGGGCCGCTGGGCCCAAGGGAGGGGACGGGCGACCGCCCGCCGCTGCTGGGTAGTTGGTCCTCCTGCGGAGGGCAAATTGGCCAGTAGCGGTTGCGGGGGTGTGGCGGTGAGGCGGGATTCCGCCTGCACCAAAGCACTTCCGTTCGGGGTTCTGCCTTCCTCTCCCTCTCTTTTTGCCCCCCCCGCACGACTGCGTTTGGTCAAATTGTCTAAACATGGTCCTATTCATCCTCCTCCGAGCGGCGGACGCGTCTGTCCGCGCGCCCGAGCACTGTGAGCGGGAGCGATCGCAACCCCCCAACCGTGGAGCCAGCGCTCCGCTCAGCTGGTCCTAGAGCCGAGGGCGGGGCGCCCGCCGAGGCCCATAGATTCCGATGCACGGGACCGCCACGGCGACCGCGACGACGGTGAGGAGCAGCGCCAGCACGGCCGCCTGGCCCGCGGCCATGCGGCCCCACCGCCGGGCGCCTCTCCAGGGCCCCGCGGCCCCACCGCCAGGCGCCAGCCCGCCGCCCGGCCGCGCTCGCGCGGCGCCTGCTCGCCGGCCCCGCGCTAGCCGCGCAGGCCGCCGCGCGGTGCACCGGGCCCGCCGCCCGGCCGCGGCGGCCCGCGCAGCGCTAAGCGGAGCCCAGCCAGCTCCGGCGCCCGCTGGTCCTCCGGGAGGTCGCCCGCTTGGTCGAGCAGCCACTGGCGCGCCTCAGCGCCGAGGCGGCCGGCGGACTCCACGACGAGCGCCGTCAGGCGATCGCCAGGGTACCTCCCGTGCTTCTCGCGTTCGGCGCGCCACGAAGCCTCCCCGGCCCGCCGCGCCGCGGCCCGCACGGCGGCCGCGTCCCCAGTGGCTGGGTGGCGGACCGTCACGTCCACCCACCAGCGGCCGTCCTCCTCGGCGTACTCCACGTCGAGGATGGCCCGCTCGAGGATCGGGCCGCTCGGCCGGCTGGCGGGCGCAGGCGCGGCCCCACGTCGGGACGCGTTGCTCGCAGAGCGGCTCGCAGCGCCGCCACCGCCCTGCGAGGCCGCCCACGGCCAGGGCGAGGTCGCCGTGGCACCAGACCACGCCGCCGCCGTGCTGGCAGGTGACCGCGTGGAGCTCGTCAGGGTCGAGCGCCGCGGTGCAGACGGCCCCCCCGCGCGCCTGGTTGCAGCAGGTCGCCGAGGCCCGCGCCAACTCGTCGCCAGAGCACTCCGGCCGCGGCAGGTGGAGGCGGCAGCGGAGCGCCGTCGCCCAGTGGACGCCGTGCTCCTCCTCCACCTCCTCCTGGGGGTGGGGTCGTCCGGTCGGGGGCCCGCTGCGGGGGATGGAACCTCGCAGTGGGCCTGACAAAGATCCCCTCGGATGGGCGACCCCACCCAGTTTTCCTCTCTCCCCCCGGACCTCTCCCTCTATGGGCAGTGAACCTCCACCTCCTCCTCCACCTCCACCTCCACCTCCACCTCCTCCTCCTCCTCCTCCTCCTCCTCCTCCTTCTCCTCCTCCTCCTCCTCCTCCATTCCTTTTCCTTATATATGATTTCTCCCTGTCGTACCCCGAGGCCGCCTCAGGCCAGTTTTTAGGGCGGGCCAGGCGTTTCGCTTGAGACTTCCTCACCATGTTTGATTCTGGAACTTAAAAAGTGACAACAGCTTCACAGATGGAGGGCGGGTGGTGTTCAAAATGTGGCTCTCGCCTTAGCGCCGCGCACATTCGTTTTTTTTAATTTGCACGAGCTTCACGGATTGAGGGCGGGTCGTTTTCAACATGTGGCTTTCACGTTAGCGCCACGCACATTCGTTTCTTTTAACATTTGCAAGAGCTTCACGGATTGAGGGCGGGTCGTTTTCAAGATGTGGTTCTCGCCTTAGCGCCGCGCACAATCGTTTTAACAGATTGCAAGAGTTTCACGGATTGAGGGCGACTGTTTTTCAAGATGTGGTTCTCGCCTTAGCGCCGCGCACATTCGTTTTGAAAAGTTGCAAGAATGTCAACGGATTCCCATGATCAACGTACCAGGAATGGTGTTTTGGAAGGATTCAGGATTATGCGGGAGCAACAGTTCTGTTGATTCGCGGTGTTGAAGTCCTAAAAACGGCGTTCTAGCACGATTCCGGATCGTCAAGACGCAATAGTCAGGTTGATCCGTGGCGTCGACATGCCGAGAACAATGTTTTGGCATGTGTCATGGTCTTCAAGGGTGTTTTCCAACGAGGCAGTTCTCTCAATGGAAATGAACCGTTGTAGGGGCCTATGAAGAGGTGGAGGGAGGGTTGATTCCAACATCGTTGATGACTCTTTGGTTACACTGGTCCTCCTCCTCCTCCTCCTCCTCCTCCTCCTCCTCCTCCTCCTCCTCCTCCTCCTCCTCCTCCTCCTCCCTCTCCTCCATCCTTATCCTGGTCTTGTTCCTCTTATCTCATGGATTCAACTTTCTCATTCTATCTCCTCTTCCACCTCCTCCTCATCCTCATCCTCACCATCCTCATCCTCACATTCAGCCTCCGCAACCTCATCATCATCATCAGCAGCAGCAGCAGCAGCATCATCACCATCACCATCATCATCAGCAGCATCAGCATCATCATCAGCAGCAGCATCAGCAGCAGCATCATCAGCATCGTCATCATCATCATCATCATCATCATCATCATCATCATCAGCATCATCAGCATCATTACCATCATCACCACCATCTTTACCACCGTTAACAACATCAGCATCATTATCATCATCAGCATCATCATCAGCAGCAGCATCATCAGCATCATCATGTGCATCATCATCCTCATCACCAGCATCATCAGCAGCTTCAGAATCATCGTCATCATCAGCAACTTGAGAAAATACCATCGGTGATGTTGGCTTAAGCCGACTCCCAATCTGGGGCGCGCGCACCAAAGCGTAGGTGCTTCAGGCTGGACAGGTTGAGGCAGATCGCCTTATGTTTCCAACGTGCGCGCTCCGTCGGTGACCTTACGTCAGAGCTCAGGGGCGAGAGGGGCTCCTCTCCAAAAGCCGATCGAACCGAATTGAGCCTCCTCCTCGCTCTCCCGATGGATAGGCTGAACGCCTGCCGCCGATGGATAGACGGCTGCAACGCAGCTCCTCGTTCTCCCGGTCTCTTTGGGGTGGGGTCAAACGTTGGCGTGTGTTGATGTTTTGTTTGGGTGAGGCGCAGTTCCAACTCCGCTCCCGTTCTTATCCTCATTACCCTCATCCCTCTTGCTCCTCATCATAATCATCATTACCTCCCTCTGCTTCCCTCCTCCCTCCTCGACCTCCCTATTCCTCTGCCTATGATTAGCGTCCTCCTCCACTTCGTCTGCTCTCCTGCGCCCACTCCTCGTTTGCCGGAGTTTCTCGTTCTTGCCTGATACGACCTTGTTTTAGTTGACACGGCCGTGTTCAACCGGCACTTGGCTTATGGAGTCTCCACTTACCCAGACTTAGTGGACCCGGTCTTAGGTGACACATTGGGGATAGATCCATCGAGGAGCATCGTCTTTGTCGTTTGGCAGAGAAGGAGACGACGGTGTCGGCTGCGTCCCTTGCGACAGTGAACTTGGCGCGACCGCTGTCAGGTGAGTTCCTTCTGTTGAAAGGAAGCCGAAGCCAAGCTGAAGGGAATACAGACGACGGGGTGGAACTTATAGCAAGCTCTAACCAAGCTATCAAACGGCAGTGTCCTGTTGTGCCTTGCCGTGCGAGAAGAATCCATGACGGATGGATTGTGCAATTCGGCATTGTATCTTTTTGGTTGGTTCGTGTTGGTGATGTTTGCACTGTTTTATGTTGGGTTGTTTTCATGTGGATTGCCGTGCCTTGTTTTTGAGTCTGCATTGGGCCAATGTGGTCTGCATTAGAGCAGCGGCAAAGCAGCGCGAAGCAACGCAATTCAAAACACCGAATTGAGGTTCAATGCAATAATGATGTGCTGCGCTGTGTAGATCACAATGTATGCTATGGGTGATGTGTGTTGACCTAATTTGCTTTTGAGCTAGGGGGTGAGTTTGTTTTCTTGTGGGCGCTACAAGGCAAGACGGTGCAAGCTGATGCGATGCAGAGTAATGCGTAACACAGCTTCTGAATGCAAGGTAAAGTAAGCACATTGCAGCGCGATGAGCATGGAAAGACTAGAATACAGTGCTACATAAGACAGCGCGCTGCAACATCCTCCAAACCACAGCAAAGCACAACAAGGTAACGCCTGTAACGCCATACGCTCAGACGCAATGCAGAATGGGATGTTGTGTTATGCTGTGTTGCGCTGGCGCTGCGTTGCTGCGCTACGCGTTGGGCACTACGGTTTGCAAATGTATTGATGTATGCTCCGAGTGGTACACTTTGATGTTCGGTCGCATGCTTAAGACGATGCAGATCTCCTGTCTTAAAGCCACAGATGTTACTGGAGGCATACTGCACAACGCAGCATGATATAGCATAGCACGACGCCCAGGCGCTCCAGGCGACCACTAGGGCCCCACCCCCACAGTCCCAGGCGACCCCACTCTCACGTGGCAAGATGTTCGGTGCCCTGGTCCATGGCCACGTTGGTTGAAGCTGTTGTTCGATCTTGCCCGCTGGCTTGCGCGGGTTGGCGGCGGCCTACGTAACCTCCAGGCACCGTACAGACCTCCACTGCGATGGCAATGGCGGCACAGGCGCTGCTGCTGGGGCTCCTGCTCCTCCCGTGCTGCTCTGGCATCTCGCAAGTGCGCTCCCAGTGGCAGGACCAGTTTGGACTCCAAGCGCACACGCACCCGACAGCGGACTGCGAGGACGCGTCCCCGGGCGACTCGTGCCACAGCGCTGTCACCTGGGCCTTGTCGGTGGGCGTCGCGACGCACCCAGAGTGGTACCCGAACTTCCAGCTCTCGACGGGCCTGGGGCACATCTCGCAGGAGCTGAACTTCAAGCAGATCCAGGAGATCCTCCACAACCGCAGCAAGGCGGGCTGCGGCAAGCCCTGCCCGCGGGGCGTCTTCCGCTACCACAGCGCCACGACGGCGGCGCCCCCGCCCCCCGCGCCCCCGGCGGCGCCGGCCCTGGAGGCCGTCCCCGGGGTGGCACGCAAGAGCGACCCTGCGCCGGAGTGACCTTTGGTGCGGGCCCACAGAGGAGGCCCCCAGCCCTGGCTGGCGCGCTTGGGTTACTCTCCCCCCCCCCGCGCCGGCGCCGAAAGCCGCGCACTCAAGGCCACTCCTCTCGCCAGGGATCACTCCTGCGGGTAGCCGAGAGGCCGCCGCGGAGGGCGCCGACGGGGCGCTGCAGCCCGAGGCCCCGCGGGAGGCGAGCGGCACGGCGCCGCAGGCCGAGGCGCAGCCGCCGGAGAGCGGCAGGGTGCTCCGGGGCAACGTCGATCGAAGAAGAGAGCGGCATGAGCCCAGCGCGGACCCAAGCAGGGGAGGGTTTCCTCCTGCATGCTGGCATGGTTCGGCCTCCGCGTGGCATGCTGGCACTGTTGGGAGCCCGAGGGATCTCTGGCGCTGGGGCCCCTGGCGGCGTCGCCTGCGCCGCTCAGCGCCGATTCAAGGAATCCGCGCGGAGCTGCGAAAGCGTGAGGTCATGCAGGTGTTCCCGCCTCCAGCGTTAAGTCGGGCCTGTCCCCCTACAGGGGGAGCTTCGACGAAAAATAAAATAAAAAAAATCCAAAAATAGTCAAAAAATAATCCAAAAATAGCCCAGGGACTCTTTTTTGAGTATTTGTTGACCTTTTTGGAGTATCTTTTTAAATATTTTAAATTTTTCGTCGAAAATCCCCCTGTAGGGGGACACGCCCGACATAACTCTAGGGAGAACGGACGGGCTCAGGGGGGACGCATCGACACCCCATCGCCCATCTCTCGCCGATGGGGACCCGCTAGCTCAACCCTGCCCAGGAGCGTGAGGGCTCGCTGTCGGGGGCCGATGGCCGGTCTTCCGGCGATGCATCGCCGATTTTGGCTCACAAGGCTTCCCCCCCTGAGGCGAGTACCACCCCGAAATTCCCCCTCTCAGGTGCCCCTTGTCCCTGTGAAGAGGGAGGTCCAGGACATGGACGAGAAGGAGCTCGGGCAGTACCTGAACAACACGTGGGATGGCATTCACTGGATGCCCTCGACGACGGTCGCCCCCGTCGGCGAGCAGCAGGGCTCGGCTGCCGACCCGG